TTTACAGCTTCTGTAAGGGTTTTCTCAGTGTCAAGTTATTTGATCACCTCTCTTCCTCGTTCTGTCTGGAACCCGTCTCTGTTATTTTTAGTTATTGGATGTACCTACTGGTCGTTTGTAAGTAGCAATGCTTGTATTATTTGAACACAATCTGTAAAATAGCCGAGCTTGTTGACATAAGGGACTTCACACCGATGGTTCAATCGTATTCTGTCGTTGGATAGTGTGACCAAGGGAGGAACTCCATCAAAATGTTTATCCACTTAAAATTCGATTTTAAATCCACGCAGCTTTTCAATTTACGAAGAGGTCTGATTAACTAAGAACATAGTAAATGAGTTCAGAAGACCTGTGCCTGATGTCTTGAGGAAATATCGCGTATAGTCTACTTGAGTGTCTTGCTCGCGTCCCCCGTTTGCATCTGGCCATGTTCGTCTCGCCGGTGGTTGCTGCGCCGATACGAGTGTCTTCATTCCTATCGGAATGTCGAACCCTGCCTTCAGTGTTTATGCACAGACCGTTGTCGTGTGCGCCGAAGTTCAAGCCCGACAGGAGGTCTCGTTAGTTCACGTTCCCCACGATATCGTTTACGGCCGCACTGGTGTCTAGTGTAGGTTCCTGCACGCCTGTATTCTGCCCCGGTGTGGCGTTACTAGTTGTCGCGACCCGTCTGACTCCCTGCCGGCGGTTTCGTTTATTAATCCGCCTGGTAATCCGCCGGGAGAATCGTACAGCGGTTGATCGAATTTGGTGCTGTGTGCCATGCGTCAAATATTTCTCTGCCTGTTTGGTCACTGCCTCGGCCTAGGATTTCAGCGTCGTCAAAAGCGAAGGTGTGTCCAGAAGCCGCACAATGTTCCGCCGCCAACGAGAGTTCATCCATTCTTCACACTGCCCTTGCGTGCTCGCTCATGGGAATCTGTAGCTGCTTTCTGGTCTCCACGATATAGATGGTCTCACAGGAACTGCATTGGACGCGATAGAAGACCTTTGCTGTTTCTCCGCGGAACAGAAGGGCCTTTGGTCTCATGACCAACCGTCTTATTGTTGCCTCAGGTCTGTGGGCTACGCCGATACCCAGTGGTTGTAACAAACGAGCGACTGTTTCAGAAACATTCTCTATGTATGGCATTGCTTTCCACATTATCGGTTGTTCAATCACTGGTCTTGTAGCTCCTTTCAGTTGTCTGCTACGTTCTAGGAAGCTGCAAAGGCAACCGTTGGAGATGAACATCCACCGAATGTACACTTACGGTTTTCTGCTGAAGTCGATAGTTTTCATAAT